GGTGAAGAAGACCTTTCCCGAGATGTGGTTTGCACCGCGGGCGGCTCTGCAGCGATCGCTCTCGTTCCGGGTCGCCTTTGGGTCTTTCCTCGCCAGTTCCCCGCGCCGGTGGCAGGGGTGGCGGGGAAGGAATAAAGCGAACTAAGATCAGATTAAAGAGGGGGGGGAAAAAAAAAAAATCAAAGGGAGGGTTGGGAAGGGGGGGGGAACCGCAAGGAAAAAAATAAATTAGAGACTTAAAGGGAAAGAGTCGCCATGTTTAGCAGCTTTTTTTTTTTTTCATTAAAAAAAAAAGATCTCCTCAATTCCACATAGAACAAGCTTCTCGATCCCAACCCTCCTCTTTTGTCCAATTCAATCTTTGGATAGATCTTTTGTTCTAACTCAGCATGAAAAGAAAAACTTTCTTTAAATGCTATAAACTTAAAACTAACTGAAGTCCCTAAACAAATCCTCCTCTGAGCATTCCAAACATATATACATGGGGCTTGTGTGTGTGTGCGTGCGTGTGTGTGTGTGTGTGTGTGTGTGTTTTTATTTAACCCTGGTGCATTTTCTGTTTACTATTATTCTCTGTGAACCAAAGCTCGCTGCAAGAAACTTATAAATACAGAGATAGCTTACAGGCTTTAAAACATAAAAAGCAGAGAATGTTTTGGATTTGAAAATCATAAATTATAATTTAATGCCAATAACAATTTACAACAAATGGTTGTTTACAATAAACTAACACAAAACAAACAAGTCAAGATCCTGTGTTCTTAGTAAGCATAAAAACTTCACACACACACACTCACATGGATAGCACTTGCAATAGAAAAAGCTAAATCTAGAGGTCAGCAATCCCCTGCAATAATAGTATATTTATATATTTATATATATTTATATATTTATAGAAAAGGAGCCATGATTCAGATGTAAAACTCTGCTCAAATTCACAGTCATACGCCCCTCTGCCCCCAGTACAGATGTGTCTAACTGGAACACACTAAAGATCAGGGTTTAATCGACTTTACAGAATGATCTCTCTCCCTCCCTCTCTCTCTTTTTGTGAAACCACAACATGGTGTAGTTACGTGTGGTAAAAAGGGAGAGGGGGAAGCCTCAGACAAGAACAAAATTGCAAGCTTTCACATACAAAGCATCTGCTATAGACCAAGGGGAGGGCGGGTGGGGGGAGACAGAGAGAGAGAGAAAGAAGAAAAGGGGAAAAAAAAAAGAAAAAAAGAGACACGCACGCACACAACCCAAAATATCAACCCCTTGCAAAACCACATCATCTTGCCTTCCTTCAGGTTTGGGTTTTTTTCGCCTGCTCGGGATAGCACTAAATTCACAAATGGTGTGTCCGATCCTATGCCACTCGCCCAGGCAGGTCCCCACCACATCAGTGGGAGCTGTGCCTGTGTGAGGACTGCAAGAGAGGGCCCTGTAGCTACACAGGAAAGATGCATGTACGCCTACGCATGTATGTATGCAAGTATACATACAGACATATATCCCATATGTAAAATATAGAGATGACCTGTGGTCATGCTTTCACAGTCTAAGGTAAAAAAAATCCACTTGAGAGTATATATACATTAAAAACCGACTCCTCAGTGCTAGAAGCTAAAGCCACTCCATTTGAAGACCTCTCAATGACAACGATAGATGGCAACTACGGAGTATTATAAAAAATCACACATACTTAAAGAAAACTCATTGCAAACAACTGACCTATATTTACAGTACTGCTATTACCTTGCTTGAATGATCTTGTGCGCGTATGTCAGACATTTACAAAAGATTTTTCGCCCCATTCTGATCATAAAATAGATACTGATCTCCAGATTTCTAATACTTTTTCACAACAATACCTTTCCTACGCAGGCACTTAAGTGTGACAAAAATAAGGGCCTTTTTTTTCCAGAAAATCCATTTTTAATTAACAGGAGGATTAGATGAATGGGGGTTGATGGTTTACCATTTCAGCATAGTACTTCCTAAAACCAGAGATAAACCACGAACTTAAGTCCTCCGCCCCCATCCCGGAATTAAACAGGTAAATACACTACAATACATCTGCTACAAACTTACTGTGACAAGTAAACAAATCAATCGCCTATGGACTTAAATGACTGCAAACTATAGAGAAGTAATGTGGTTTCTGAAAGACATTTATGACAGCCAAACAAGTTTCAGATATCAAATAATATTTTAATTTCTGAATACTTTCAATTTTCCTTGGAATATAACACACAAAGACTCGACCAAACAGTTCAGTTATTATAACTTTTACAGTATACAGAAATGTTGCACTTAAAAAAAAAACCTTCAGTTTTTTTAAACACAAAACTGTAAACTCTAAGATACTGAATCAATCACGTTATCTATAAGTGCCAACAGTGTTATTTTGTCATGCTGATTTCAATGGTATTTTTTAAAAAGGGAAAATATCAACAATTATTATAATACAAAGGGCTTGCAAATATACAAACAGATAGAGGAGTTTAATAACAATTCATGATGAACTATGTGGAACCCAATTCAAATTACAAAAGTTCACTTTGCTTGTTTGTTTGTTTTTTTAAATCAAAACCGTAGTGTGTCTTGGACACGAATTCCTTCTACCTATAATAAATCCCCACAGTTCATTTTCTGTCCGAAATATCAAAAAAACCTAGATTTGGGGGTAGTTATATGACACGTGTGGTTCATTCGGGTCTATATAATTATAGCTCTCTCAGCTTCAAGCTAGATTTTGGGTCACCACCTTAAGTGCGCTTCCATCATTGTGTTGTTGAGGGGGTTTTTTTTTCTCTTTTCCTTTCTTCCTATGATACTTTCGTGGACTCAGTTTTAATTCTTTCAGAACATATATTTTAAGGATACACAGTTTTTTTTTTTTTAAAGAAGCCAAGGTTATATCAAAAATTATTATAGAACCACAGAATAAACTGGTTTGAAACCAGAAAAATACAAAAAAGAACAGCTATAGGTACATAGACACATAGGACAATTAATAATTTGGAAAAAAAAGACTTACTTTCTTCCGTTCTGCTAATTTTCTCCAAATTTCCTTTAAATGCACTTTAAGCGAGATTTTTTAAAAAGTTTACCCCAAAAAAAAGAAAAAAAAGAAGAAAAAAGAAAAAAAGAAAAAGCCGACCATCATTTCTTTTCTTCTTCTTTCTCTTTTTTCTTTCTTTCTTTTTTCTTTCTCTCTTTTTTTATTTTTTACAAAAAATGATAAGTAGCAAGTTTTTTTTTCTGAACGACACGGGAGTTTTTAATGCATTCTGTAAAAGTTCATTTGACAGTCTCTTTTTAAATTCACAGTCCATTAATTTTTTCCTGTCTTCTCTTAGCAAACTTGTAACATCCTTTTACATCCTTTCTTAGCAGAAGGAAATTTAAGAAACAACCAGAACCCAAATGTCATTTGCTTTCCTTTCACTCTCTTTCATCTCCCTTCTCAATTTTTAATTTTTTTAAATTTTTTTTTCTCTCTCGAATATTTTATTGAATGGACATATAAGGCCAGTTAAAACTGCTGCCAGACAGTAACATATCCCTGATTAGGGTTTCTATGGGGGTTTTACCTACCAAACGGACGAAAAACAATTGCTCTATGACAGAAGAGGAGACAGTGCGAAGGGAGGGGAGACGTAGTAATAGCTTCCCGAATCGTGTTGGCTGGTTGGGATACTGGCTCCTAACATACTCTTCCAAAGCACACTGTGACTTCTCCTGTAAACTTTCAACATGGGCTACATCAGAGAGACCACAGGCATCTAGAAGAAAGTGTATTAAAAAAAAAAAAAAGAAAAAGAAAGAAAAGAAAAAAAGAAAACAATCATCAGATTAAAAAGTTTGGTTTCTGGTTTTTTAAAAATTTTTAATTTGATCTTTTTTATTGCTAGAATTAAGTGTAGGTAGTGCGCCATCACCTCGCCCCCCAGAGTTTAAGTAGGTTTTACCAAAAGGGACAATCTCTCTCTCCCTGTGTATGTGTGTGTGTTTGTATTTCTCTCTCTTCTGGAGGGTCTCCTTTAGGACTGAGAATCTCCAAGATTCGAGATTTCTAATGGCATGACAGACCTGAGGGGGTGACAAGGAGGTGCTGGCCAAGCGTAATTTCGTATATCTGCATTTTTAGGGGGAAAGGCTGGGGGGGGCGGGGAAGGCTTGAGTCGAAAAGGGGGAAAGGGAGCCACTATTTCCCCCCCCCCGCCCCCCCCCCCGGAAAATAATTGGGGAGAGCCCAACCATGTGATGCGAAGGAATACTAATAATAGTGACAGAAATCATAATAATAATAAAAAACTGGCCCAGCCAAAGATAATGGCGCCCCCGATCCAGCAACAGATTCTCCCCCAAAGAAGACAACGCGTTTTTCTTCAGTCTTTGAAACTGATTTAAGTGGCCCTTTAAAACTGATCTTGTCAGTTTAGCCTATTCAGAGGCAGCCATGCAAACTGTGATCTCTCTGTTCATTTGAGCTGTTTCTTTTCCCCCCTCTTTTCTTTTCTCTTTCTTTCTTCCCCCCCCTCCACTCCCCCCTCTTTTTTTTCCTCTTCTTCTTCTTTTTAAACCTAAAGGCCCTTACAAGAAGAAAACTCCCTGATAGGGTCTGGACATTTTTTTCTCTTTTTTTTCCTGATACGCTAAAATACAATAAGTTCCCTTTAAATCAGAGACGTCTGTGCTGAAAGAGCACAGGTTGTGACCTGACCTCCCTGTGGCTTTCCTAGGCACAGGGCTAACACATGCATATTCTGCGAGTCATTAGAACCCAGATTTTTTTTTTTTCATCTTAAAAGAGGCTGCAGCAAACATTATATGCATCTATGTGCGTCTGCTTTACATCAGGGAGTGTTATTGGGGTGCTGCAGAAGGTGCATGCCCCCCCCTTTTTTTTTTTTTTTTTTTTTTGCATGCGGCTATCTTCCCCAGAATCAGATAACAAGAAACGTTTATCTAGTTGGGAGGCAATTTACACGCCAGGCCTCACATTTTGAAAATAGTAATAAATTAAACAGTTACGACAGGATCGGACGATTGTTTTCTCAGAAGGCTAAAAAAAAAAAAAAAAAAAAAAGAGGTTTGGGAGAAAAGGCAGGATTGGAAATAAACTCCTCGGTGTGGGTGTGAGCTGGCCAGGGGCTGGGGAGGGATGTGAGCGTGTGTGGGATCCTCGCTGAGCGTTTGAGCGAGGGAAAGGAAAATGCATCCTAGAAAAGGATAGAAAAATAAAATAAGCACCCCACGTACACCCCTTCCCACTCAGGATCCCTGTCTCCCTGTGGCTAGATGCGCCCTGCTCATTGATCACCTTAGGACTTTAGCACGAGTAATTTGGGGGGGGGGGAAGGAAAAAAAAAAGAGAAGTTTTTTATGTGTAAAGCAATAATATATAAAAGGAAGTTTAGGTCACGACCCAGAACCTGGACAAAGTCCAGAAAATGACTTCGTTCCCCAGACCCCCTTTAACACAACAAGGAATGGATTGTGAGCCCTTCTTTTCCCACATAAACTACATTTTTTTCCTGTTTCCTGATATCAGGCTTTAAAAAACTCCGATGAGTAATTATTTTACAGGTCCTGCTTCCATTCATATGTTTATCGCGTGGCCACTTTCCCAAGCTTTCAAATGAGTTACAGGAGAAATATAGGTATTTTTAAACTTAATCCCAAAACTTCTAGGGCTCCAGCACACTGGGTTGCCGATGCAGCCTTAAAGTTAGCAATCTGAGATAACGTATTGCACAAATTAGCGAGCAGATTTTTTTTCCCCCAAAAAAAAAAAAAAAAAAAAGAAAGAAAGAATTTAGCCTCCAGAGTTAATATCAGGATTATTACTCACCCAGGTTAAACTCTAGTGCAAGCTAATTAGATTTCACAACGCACTCAATTATTGCTTTATAACTCATGCACTATTTCTAGGCAGCAAAAGTTGACACATATTTTCCCCCCTCTCTCTTTGATTATCTAAGAAACACCTCGAGGTCTTTTCCTCGGGAGAGGCATGGTTGTGCCACCCCGGAATTACACTGCGGAGCGGCAGCTTCAGTCTCCTCTTACTTTTTCATACTATCCCTGTCTACTTATGGTAATGATCTTTTCGCACCCGCTACTCGCTTTGGACTATGCTGTTCCTGCTGGGTACAAATGCAAACTTTTCCCCTTAGCTTAAATGACACAGAACTGCTCACTGCCACATTCTGTTTAAATCAGAGACAGCTCTTTGGAAAGTTGATTTATTTTATTTTATGGGATGGCAGGGAACATATTTTAAACTCAGCTTTGCGCATTTAACTTTTTTTTTTTAATTCAATTTTTAATCCTGCAGGGCTTTTTTCCCTTCCTGGCTGCCCATAAAATGATCTTCTTTTTAAAGTGGTTTCACTGATAGGACGACTTGTATTTAACAACATCAAACAGATTTTGCTGCTGTTCGGATGCGTGTCATTAAATGCAACAACCCAGAGCTATACTGTTAAATAAAATATTATTTTCAATGGGAAAAGCGCAGTCTCTCACGGCGAATGGGTGCCTCTCCCCGAGCCCCCTCTTCCCCTGTCCCCAGCATTATTCAACTAGGGTTGGGGTGTGTTTTGGTTGCCTTTTTTTTTGTTTGGTTTTTTTTTTTTTTTTTTTTTTTTTTTTTTTTAATTTCGCACTCCCTCGAAGATGGGATGCTCAGATCCGAGGCCCTGAAGGGGAGACCACAGGGCACCGGTTCCTAAAAGGAAAGAGACCGCACTGGTTCTCGGGGGCAGGGAGCAGTGATGGGGTGCAGGCAGTAACACTTTGCGAGAGCAAACAGTTCTCAGGGGGGGCCGGGGGAAGGAAAAAGGAAGAGCAAAGAAATGCTGCCTACCTGAGGTGAAGAGGACTATGGCCTTTAAACAGCTATATTCTGCAGAGTCGACATGCAATGCTTTCAGTTTTTCTACTTGCTCTTGGAAGATTCGTATGTGGTCCATAAAGGCGACCACTCGGTCAGCAGACATTGGCGAAGCGTGGAGGCCAGCAGCTGCCAGGAGCGGAGCTACGTGGAGGGGCATGGAGCACTGGGCAGCGTTGAGGACAAACAACTCGCTCCAGGTCAGCCTCAGGAGGGCCACCTGGTCTGTGATCTGGAGGTCTGGGAAGAAGGGGATATTCCTGGCCCACTCCACCGCGCTGAAGAGCATCCTAGCTGCCAGTTCACAAATGTTCTCGATGCCCATGATGTTGTTGGGTTGCATGCACTGACTGCCAAAGCGGGAGGTGGGGTAGGGCTCTGCTCTCAGAAGAAGGGAGATATATCCGGATAGGTAGGAATGGCAGTTGAGAGGGTCCCCGTTTGTCAAGGCGAACTGACCATGAGTTGGCTGTGTGGGTGGCATTCTGCCCCTCTGGACCGCTGCAGTAAATAAAGAAGAAACTACAGCTATTAATATCTGAATTGCGACCATCGGTTCAAATACAGCCTGCTTTGTGTGCCTGTGCGTGCCTGTGTGACACCGTACCAAGTCAGCTTAAGGGGGAACATGCATTTTTCCAGCCAGAGTTCAGCCCGCGCCCCGCTTTAAGGCTCCGCGGTTCCCGGGTCAAGTAAAAGCAACAATAAAAGCTGAGCAATGCCAGCCGCTCGGCCAGGACTGCCTGAAGGAGCCCGAGATCCTCACTTCCCCAAACACACCACAATTCAGTTATTTCACACCCCCCCCGGCTCCACCGCCACCCCTCCTTCAAAAGATGTGGGATGCGTCTTTGTGTGCCCGGGTATTTTTCTTCATTACATCTACACCAGCTTACGGATTTGAGGCTGGGGGAGCGGGATGGGGAGGGAGGGGGGGAAGAGGGAAGAAACACTTCAGTTCAAAATCCCCGGCGCTGGTCCCACACGCGTTTCTCGCCCACTGAATATATTGTTGCTCCTGTTATTACATATTCCACCCCCACCCCCCCCCGATAAAAAATATCAAAGGAGGCGAGATCACCCCACAACATCCCCGGCAGGTCCCCCGGCGAGACTGGGGGCATTATCCAAAGGCACCTTCCTCAGCTGCCCATGGAAAGTGGGCCTTTCATTTTGTTAATAAATTTACACGGTGACAGCGAGAGAAAAAGGAGAGAGAAAAAGGGCTCAGAGGCAGAGAGACAGCAAGCAGGGCGAACGCCTAAAAATGTGCTTGATTTATATTTGTTATCGCACGTATTACAAGGTTAGTTACTCTTGCAGAAACACAAAGAGAGGAGCCCAGCAAGTCCCAAGCCCCCTAACCCTTAACCTACATAGCAGCGTCCAGACACAGAGCACGCACTGGAAAACTGCAGGCTCACATTTCTCGTCTAATTTTATATCACAAAGACTCGACTTGCAGAGACCCGAGCACCCCACACTTACTTCTGGGCTGCTCCTTCTCCCCCCCCCCCCGCCCCGGTCCCTTCTCCCCCCTCCTGCCTCTCCCGGAGGAACAAGAAAATAAGAGGAAGAAGAGAAAAGTGCGATAATAACAATCAGGAGAGGCAGGCACACGGAAATATGTATGTACACACACGCGCGGATATGCGTGTGTGTATATATATATATATATATTTTTAAAGGAGGAAAAAAATCCGGCTGGGAATCCACAGTGGAGTGCTGTAGAGCCTCGGTAGGGTGAGTCCCATTGTAATAGTAATTTGAACCGCCTGTGTAAAATTGCAATCTAAGGCAGGGTGCTGGAGGAGAGAGATATATATATATGTATGTGTGTGTGTGTGTGTGTGCGCGCGCGTGCATCTCGTGAGGCTGCGTGTGTGTGTGTACACACACGGGCACAGGGACACACACGGACACACGCACCCGGAGCTGCTCGGGGGACGGGGGCTAACGCTGAGCATGCAGGAGGAAGCATGAAGGAAAAGTAACCCCACGTCAGAATAATCATCTCGCTCCTAAGCAGCGTGAAACTAAAAATCCACTTCCAATAAACCTCCATCAGCAAAATCAAAACAAACACAAATCAATTACGAGTGCAGGAGAGAGCATGCAAGAGCCCCTGCCTCCTCTGCCCACCCCCTCCAACACCTCTTTCTTTCATTACGAGAAAGTTTCTGTCTGTTTATTCGGGGGGTGGGGGTGGGGAAAGGTTCTGGCTGGGTTTGGGGTTTGGGGAGGGAGGTTAGGAATAATAAGAATTAAAAAAACAACCCCAAACCAACAACCAAAACAAACCCCCAAACGCAGCGAGTGAAAAAAAATTGCAAAACAAATGAAATCCCAATACCTTCCCGTCTCATGCCAACTTTGAGGCATTTTTTGAGGCGGCAGTACTGACACTGATTGCGGTGGTGCTGGTCAATGGGACAGTTCCTGTTGGCACGACAAGTGTAGCTGAGATTCCTCCTTACACTCCGCTTGAAGAAACTCTTGCAACCCTCGCAGGTAAACTGGCCATAATGTTTGCCACTAGACTTGTCCCCACAAACCACACATTCAATGTGCTGCTGCTGCTGCTGTTTGTCTCCTTGGTTCTGCTGGCTTGGCGGGTTGGTCTGGGCTGGCGTACTGGGAGGGCCCCCGGGCCCCGGGGTCTGTGGGGTGTGCGGGGCCCCGGCCGGAGGTCCCTGCACCGGCGGGGCTTGCGAAGGCTGCGTTCCCTGAGCTCCGGGCACATCGTCCTGGGGGTCTCGCCACGCACCGACTACCATTGCCATATCTATTGGACACCGTTGCCAAACTTCCTGTTCCCCCTTTATTTTCAAAGTTTGTTTGCTTTGCTTTTCAGATCAGCTTTGCAGCAGTCTTTTTTTTTTTTTTCCTCCTCCTCCCCTGTCTCTCTCTTTCCCCCTCTCTCTTTTGTTGTTTTGCCTTGTTTTGGTTTGGTTTGGGTTTTTTTTCCTTTTTTTTTTTTCAGGAGGGTCGGGGTGGGGGGGATCTCCCGGTACCGGCGAAGGTGCAGAAGCACGGGGCGATGGAGGTGTGTGTGCGGGGGGGCGAGTTGCGAGTCGATTGTCTGGGCTCCAGGAGAGCAAAGTAAAGGGGTGGTGGGGGTGGGGGAGAGAGGGAGAGAGAGAGAGAGAGAGGAGAAAAAAAAAAAAATCTCTTCAAAGATCTCCCTCTCTCTCTCTTAGAGCTGATCTGCAGCAGAGTAGTTGAAGGAGGAGAGGCGGGTGTCTGGGGGCCAGGTCCAGGGAAGCTCGCAGTCAGCCATTCAGGAAAGCCATCAAAATAAGAATGAATAAAAGGTTAAAGATTACACACACAGCGGAAAAAAACACGCACAGCTGAGGAGACTTTTCTCGGCGCGGAGAGCGGACGGTCTCGCCGTAGTTTTTGGAAGTCCAGCTTGCAGCAGCAACATCAACTGCGATCGCTTTGTTTTTGTGGGTTTTTTTTTTTTTTTTTTTTTCCTCCTCTTTCCTCCTCTCTCTCTCTCTGCTCTGTCTCTCCTCCCTCCTTCGCTCGCTTTAATTCTTCCTCTCCGCCGCTCCGCCCGGGCGCTGCTCTCTTTCTCTCTCTCTCTCCCTCTTTTGGGCTCGGGGGTGGGGGGGCTGGCTGTTTGTTTTTTTTCCTCCTCCTCCTCCTCCTCCTCTCCTCGCCTTTTTATTATTATTATTATTGTTATTATTATTAATTATTATGATTATGATTCTTTATTTGTTCCTCCTCTCCGTCCCCGCCGCGCTGCGCTCCGCTCTGCCCCGCTCAGCCGCTTCGCCGCTCCCGCC